TGTGAAGAACCAATCTCAACTTCAGAATTAAAACTTTTGTCATTATCATGATTACTGTATTCTGCTTCAACTATGAATTTAATAACTTTCATAACTAATAAATTATAAATTATATAAAATTAAAATTAAAAAAATAAAAAAAAAAATATAATTAAAAAAAAATTAATTAATTAATTAAATATTAGTTTAAATTAATTAAATTAAACCCACCCACTTACTGCAGCTGCCAATATTTGCTATAGATAATAATTTAATTTATCAAAAAAAATTAATTTAAATTAATATTTTAATTAATTATTTATTTATTTTTAATTTTTTTTAGTTTAAATTAAACCCCACTCACTTACCGTAAATGCCAACCAACTATTAATAAAGAAATCTAAAAAAAATAAAAATTAAATAAATAAAAAAAAAATTAAATTAAATTAAATCAACTTGCAACAGCTAATATATCATAAGTAATAAATTAATTTAAAAAAAATAGTCATAAAAAAAAACAAAATTAAATTAATTAATTAAATGAAAAATTTAAATTAATTAAATTAAATAATAAATAAATAAAAGTTAAAGCGAAGCTTACCGCAGCTGCCAATGCTAATAAAGAAATCTAAATTAAATTAAATTAAATTAAATAAATTAAAAATTAAAATTAAAAAAATATTATTATATTAACTTACCACAGCTTCTGCAACTGTAAATAAATAATTTAATTAAATTAACTACAAAAAAAAAAATTTTAAATAATAAATTTAAATAAAAAATAAACAAAAAAAATTTAAATTAATAAATTAAAACCTGATCCCTTATTGTAAAATCGTCCAAATAAATTCTATAAAAAATAATTAATATTAAAGAAAAATAAATAAATAAAAAAAAAGAAAATTAATACACTTACCACTTTAGTTATTATCGTTAAGATCACAAATCCTGAAATAATAGAATTTAAATTAAACAAATAAACAAAAAAAAAATAATAAATAAACAATAAATTAACTTATTACTAACCATTAATAATTTATTAATCTATAAAAAAAAAATATTAGTTAAATAAATTTTAAATAATAATTAAATTATAAAATAAACACATATATCATTTATTACAAAATAGCCAGTTATTATTATTAAAAAAAAATATAAATAAATTTAAAAAATAAATAAATAAATAAATAAAATTCACTTACTAATAAATTCAATGATCACTAAGAAATTTGTTACTACTATTCTAAAATAATATAATTTAAAAAAATAATAAATAAACAAATAAAACAAAAGAAATTAACAAATAAACAATAAATTATTTACCATAACCGTTAGTAATTTATCCAAGTCACAATAAAAAAAATTAAAATGATATTAATTAAATTTAATAAAAAATTAAATCACAACCTTTTATTACAAATAAAATCGCTAATTAATATTAAAAAATAAATAAATAATAAATTAAAAATAAACAAATGAAAAAATTAAATTAAAGTGACTTACCCTATAGTCACTAATCGCTAATTCTACAATTTTCAACTGATCCTGAAATATAGAAATTTAAAAATTAATAATTTTAATTTATATATATTGACACTTCCTCCTTTCATTTTGCCTTACTACTTCACCACTCTACTGCCTCCCACTGCTTTCCACTTATCTTACTGTCTCTACTGCCTCTACTGCCTCACTACTCCAATTTCCCACTACATTACTCACTTAATTAGACACGAACCCTAAAATAAATTAAAAATATATTAAATAAACAGCAAAAAAAAAGAAATAAAAAAAAATATTAAAAAAAAATATTTACTTACTGCAGCTGAAGTTAGTAAACTTGCTTTCTTCAATTCTAAAGAAAGAAGTTTACAATAGTATATCAGCAAAAAAGATTATCAATTTATTAATTAATAATCAATTCAAGATCTGAATTCAGATCTAAATCTAATCTGAATCTGAATCTGATAGATCAGATCTGATCTAAATCTGAATCTGATAGATCAGATCAGATCTGAATCTGAATCTGAATTAGATCTGAATCTGATAAATCTGATTCAAATCTGACTTGTCAAATTTAAATTAGATTCAGTTTAATCTGAATCCGTGCAGAACACTAATTAGTTGAATAATTTTTGATACTTAACCTTTAAATATTATGCAATTAGAATCTTTTTAAAAATTTATAAAAGAACTTGATCTAATATTTGAAATTCTAAATGTTAAATTAATTAAGTAAACCATTTATAATGCTTATAATTAAACACTTTTCTTAATTCAAAAATTTATTGAAAATAATGTAATTTTAGTTAGTTTAACTGATATGTGAACTGGTAAAAATAAACTGGAATTTTTGGGTGTTACTTGTTCTTTCTTAGATAAAAATTTTACTATTTATAAAATTATTCTTACAATTGAATATATTAGATATCCTCATAATGCACAAAATGTATCTATGCATTATTTGTTATTTTAGATAAGTAGGTTTATGAAATATAACAAATGTAATAGTAACTAATAATAGGCAAATATAAAAAAACAATAAAAAAAATAAATAAAATTGCTTCAAATATAAAGTGGCAACTATGTGTTGTATACACAATACAGTTTATAGTAGAAAAAGGGTTAATTTTTGTTAAACTATTAGTTTTAAGAGCAAAAAAATTAATTGATTTTTTTTTAAGACCAAAACAAAGTAAAAGATTAGAGAAAATTCAAAAAAATCAAAATAAAGTTGATGTAATAAAGATTTTAATTTTATAATTTATGTTTATTAATTATTCAAATTATTTTTATATTTATATAATAATTTTTATAATATTTAGAATGCTGGTAAATCTATTGAATATTTCTTTCAAATAATTTTAAATATTTCAACCAGATGAAATTTAAGTTATTATACTTGGAATAGGTTAATTAAAATCAAAGGTTATATTTAAATGCTAATTATAAAATTAGTAAATAATGAAAATACTGATGCAAAAAAAAATGGAAAGCAACTTGAAAAAATCATATTGAGTTCTAATGAATGGAAACTTTTATAAGAATTAGTTATAACACTTGGTTCATTTGAAGAAGCAACTGATTATCTTTGTAGAGAAAAATATATTACACATAGTATTATGAATCTAATAATTGAACAAATAAAACATTTATTACTTTTACCATTATTTAATTTATCTAATTCATCTATATCTACATTATCTATATCACCTGTAACAGCTTTTAATATATCAGAAATATATCAAGAAATTGAAAATATGCTGATATATTTATTATGATAGAAGAAGTAGAAACATTAGAAAATTATGTTATTGAAAATAATTATAATCAAATAAAAATTAACAAATTTAATTTAAATAAACTATTAGAAACTAAAGATCTTTTAGATAAAGTAAGAAAAGATCTTTATAATATTATGTGTTTTTATTGGAAAGTTTTATCTAAAAATTACTTAATATCAACAATACTTAATTTCAGAATTAAGTCTATGAATAATAAAACAGAAGAAGAAGAAGTTTTATGCAAAAGATATGAAGAATATAAGGAAAATTATTTACCAACTCCTAATGAATTTCGATCTTCATCTTCAACTCAATCTGAATCATCAATAATCTTAAATCCAATTTATAAATCTAGGCTTTTTTTAATATTTAAACAAAATCAACCAAGAGCATCTGATGAAATTGAAGAATATTTAAAAGTAAATAAGATTCCCTTTTAGTCAATATCTATTTAATTGGTGGTTAAATAATAAAAATAAGTATCCAATTATTGCTAAAATAGCAAGATTTCATTTAGCTATTTCTGTAACATCAACACCATCAGAAAGGTTATTTTCTGATGCAGGAATTTACTTTCAGCAAAAAGATCTAAAATGAATTCAGAACTTTATTAACGTATAATGTTTTTAAAAAGAAATGCAATTAAAGTTAAAAGTATTTATGAATAATTACTTATATTTTAAATCAATTATTTGTATAATTTATTATAAATAAATTGTTATTTTATTGAAATATTATAAAACTTATTGTAAACCTAAACTCATAATTTTAAAGATTTCTATTTTTTAAAAAAGAAGCAAAAGTTCTAAATAAAAAATAAATAAATAAAATTTTTCCTTCCCAAAATTCAAGTTGAAATCCAGATCCAGAAAAGTATCTCAAAGAAAAAAAGAAAAGAAATGTGAATGATTTTTAAAGACAAATAAATGAAAAATGAAAAAAATCATCCCAACTTACCTTTCATAGCCCAAGTCGAAATTCAGGTTCAGAAAGGCGTTCCCTAAAGAAAATAAGCAAAAGAACTGGTAATGACGTTCTAAAAACAAAAAAGAAAACAAAAAACCCACCACAACTTACCTTTATGGCCCAAGCTGAAATCCAGGTCCAGGTAGCGTCCCCTAAAGAAAAGAAGCAAAAGGAACGTTAATGGCGTTCCAAAGACAAAGAAAAATGAAGAAACAAAAGCAATCCCCCACACCACTTTACCTTCATAGTCCAAGCCGAAATCCAGGTCCAAGAAGGCGTCCCCTAAAGAAAAGAAAGAAAAGGAATGTTAGTAACATTCCAAAAAAAAACCCAATTCCAACAAACTTTTTAATCCAAGCCGTTCAAGTAAATTCCGAAGTCCAAGTCCATGTCCATGTCCAATCCTAAAGGAAAAAAGGTAAGTTTTTTTTTTTTTAAAAAATAAAAAGCAATACTAAAAAAAAATAAAATAAAATAAAATGAACGGATCCGCATAACGTCCGATCAATCCGATGTTATCCGATGGATCCATCCGGATTATCCGCGATCCGTTTTTGGATGACGGATTGAACGGATTTCACCGGAGCATACCTCTAACCTATAGGAATTAGAGAAAATCCTAAGGTTAGAAACTCTAGCGTGTAGAATCAACTACTGCAGCCTTTCAACTTAGATGTTAAGATAACCGAAAATGAATCCGATGATAACACCAAATTGCATTTTTTAGTCTGTAACAAATTTATTTCCTATATTTTCAGCAACATCTTTTCCAACCTAGCCTCCTCCATTATTGTTAATAAAATTCATTAAATTGATCCAATGCATTCTTGGTATTGGATAAAACTCTGGAAGAAAGAGCGTTGTTGATGATTTCATTAATAAATCAAATGCATTTTTCGAAGGTCGTTCTTCACTAGAATTATCATCCAAATCAATAATTCTAATCTCTACAAAAACACCATATATTTTCAAAGCTTCATATACTTTACATTTATTCCCACTTTTTCTTTATTACCAAATTTCATTTTCCCAAAATATGCTTCGAAATTAACATTCCACAACTCCGGTTCAAGTGTATCAATAGCAAATGTTGTAAAAAAATTTTCAACAGTTATATTTTCATCTACCGGAGTACCTTCATCAAATAAAATAGAATTTTGTGTTTTATAATTAGATGAATAATTGGCATTTTAATAGAACTTTATGATAATTAGAATTAAATTTTTATTAAATTTATAAAATCAAGTTCATTTATATTTGACGATCATATGTATTGTTTGATCATATGTATTATTCGATCATATGTATTGTCCACATATAAAATTTTCACATGCTATAAAAATAAAAGCCGGGTCACCGGGTCATTTTCAAAATTTTGAACCGAAAAATTAACTTTTGATCAAAAGCATACTTCACATTGTTATTGGAAGTCTTTTTTTGTTACTAATTACATCAGGATTAAAATATTCCCAAAACCCAAGTTCTTATCTTTTTTAATTTTTTAATGAAGACAGTTTCTTGAAGATTAGCTTTACGCGTTGGACATCTTCGTTATGACATAATATCTTTTTTTTGTTAAACTTTTGGTTTAACCATTAAACAAACAAACAATTAACCGGTTAATAATTAGCCGGTTCCAATTACTAATGATTTTCATGACAAATACGGAAGCTATATTCCGGTTTTATGATGATCACATTGAAATTTTCCTTTCATGTCCTGAAACTTGTTTCACAAACTAAAACATTTTGACAATAAGATTAAATTTCGGCCGAACTTATGATAGTTAGCTCAGGTCATATGTCACATGACCTTATATTTAAAAATAAATAAATAAAATAAATTTTTTACTCAAAAAAAAAAAAAATCACTTTTACTTTTCAAAATGTTAACAACTACCGATAAGAAATTTAACCCTTATTTTAGTTGGTTAGAAAAAGCAAGATTAGATAATTATTTCAAATACTATAATTATAAACATTTTACTAATAGGAAGCAAATCAGTTGTAGTTCTAATGGAGCTGTTTCGCGTGCAAACTGGAATGATTCCGATGTTATTATGGTTTTGAAACAACCATTTAACTTAAATATTCATGAAATTGTTAACGAGGTAAACTATTATAATTACTTAGTTATTTTTATTTTTATGTAAAAAGTATTAACTTATTTCTTAATAGATAAAAATGCATCGAGAAGTTGATTATCATCCAAACATTATAAAATTTTATGGGATATCAATACTAGAAAACAAACATTTGTTGGTCATGGAATATGCTGATGGTGGTTCATTACAATCTTATTTAAAAGAAAATTTTGTTAACTTAGAATGGTGTGATAAATACCAATTGGCATTTCAACTTGCGAGTGGTGTAGCATGTATGCATAATGAAGGAATTATTCATGGTGATTTGGTAATGTATTTACACTTTTTTTTTATACCTTTTATTTGTCTATATATGATAAATTAACAAAATAATTTTGATTCATATAGCATGCACTTAATGTACTTGTACATCAAAAAAATATAAAGATTGCAGATTTTGGCCTATCTCGAAAATTAACTGATGCAACTATTTATTCAACAGACGTGTTTGGTGTTGTCCCTTATGTGGATCCAAAATATTTTAATAATGTCGAGAATAAAAATAAAAGCCGACATTATTATTTAAATCTAAAATCGGATGTTTACAGTATAGGAGTACTTTTCTGGCAAATTTCGAGTGGACATAAACCTTTTAAAAATGATGGATATGATGCACATTTAATTATAAAGATTAAAGAAGGCCGAAGGGAAAATATTATCAGAGATACTCCTATTGAATACAGTTGCTTATATAAAAGTAAGTATTACCAACATGCAAGCATATTCTGAAATATTTAAATAATTAAACTGGTTAAATTTTTTATTAGAATGTTGGGAGGAAGATCCAAGTAAACGACCATCTATGAAACAAGTTGTCGAATCGCTTAATACAATAATATTTAAAGAGAATAATAATGTAACACATTCTGTTAATTGCATAGAAAGTAAATTAGAAATGTTAGAAGATACGAATTCATTATCATCAGAAATTGATTCCGAGTTATATATAAGTAAATTAATACATAATTTACAAGATTACCATTCGGAATCAATGAATAATGAATGTGATTCACATATAATATCACAAGCAAAAAAATTATTTTTTGAAATATATGATATAGCGGATAGCATAAGTATTCTCATTGATAAGTTAATTGCACTTTTAATTCAAACACATGATGAAGGAAATGATTTTAACGAATCAAAGCATTTTATAAACCAATGTATATTTCTTTCGAACAAATATTCACATGATATTTTTGATTGGCTTAAAGGAAATGAAAATCAAATGAAATCAAAATACCTATTTTTCCTTGGATTTTTTTATTATAACTTTAAGAATGATAAAACTAAAGCTTTCGATTTATTTTTAAAGTCATCCACTAATAATTATCCTATTGCACAAGTTTATTTAAGCTTATGTTATAAAGAAGGATTTGGAATTAAGTTGAATAATAATTTGGCATATAATTGGATACAAAAAGCCGTAAAAAACGGAAGCATTTTTGGACAATTTAATCTTGGTGTTTATTATGAGAATATTGAAAAAGACTTTGATAAAGCCATTTATTGGTATCAAACATCAACAAGTAATGGAAATTTAAGTGGTTTATATAATCTAGGTAGATGTTATGAATTAGGAAAAGGAATTAAAAAATGTGCAAATAAAGCATTGGATATATACAAGGAATTATCTGAAAAAGAAGTTATGAGTGGAAAATATAGACTCGGAATATGTTATTATTTTGGAATTGGAACTTATATTAATAAAGTAAAGGCATTTAATATATGTAAAGATTTGGCTGAGAATGGATATCAAAAATCACATGTATTTTTTGGTCATTTATATTATAATGGTGAAGGTACAGAAAAGGATTTAGAAAAGAGTTTTTATTGGTATCAAAAAGCAGCGGAAAATGGATATGGATTTGCACAATATAACCTTGGTTATTTATTTGAAAAAGGTTTAGGAACAATGAAGGATTTAAAAATGGCTTTTTACTGGTATCAAAAAGCAGCAGAAAATGGATATGGATTTGCACAAAATAATCTTGGTTATTTATATGAAAGGGGTATAGGAATAATAAAGAATTTAGAAATGGCATTTTACTGGTATCAAAAAGCTGCAGAAAATGGACATGGACTCTCACAAAAAAATCTTGCAATATTATACTATAAAGGTGAAGGAATAGTTAAGAATTTTGAAAAAGCTTTTTATTGGTATCAAAAAGTAGCAGAAAGTGGTAATGTACTTGCATGGTGTAATATAGCTATATTTTATGAAAAAGGTGAAGGCATAGAAAAAGATTTAGAAAAGGCCTTTTATTGGTATCAAAAGGCAGCAAATAGCGGTAATTTTGTTTCAATGTTTAACTTAGCTTTATGTTATGAAAAAGGTGAAGGCACAAATAAGGATTTAGAAAAGGCATTTTATTGGCATCATAAAGCAGCTGTATGTGGTATTAAAGTTGCAATGTTTAACTTAGCTATATGTTATGAAAATGGTGAAGGAGTAGAAAAGAATTTTGAAAAGGCCTTTTATTGGTATCAAAAAGCAGCAGAAAATAATTATATTAAAGCACAAAATAGACTTGGTTATTTATATAAAAAAGGCAAAGGAATTGAAAGAAATTTAGAAACGTCCTTTTATTGGTATAAACAATCAGCAGAAAATGGACTTGTTTCTGCACAATATAGTCTTGGCCGTTTATATGAAAAAGGTATGGGAACAATAAAGAATTTAGAAATGACTTTCTACTGGTATCAAAAAGCAGCAGAAAATAGTGATATGCATGCAAAAGCACAAGCTAAATTTGCACGATTATATGAACAAGGTTTAGGGACAAGAAAATGTATAGAATATGCTATTTATTGGTATGAGAAAGCGAAAAGAAATGGAAACCAAAAGGTCGAAAAAAGGTTGAATAATCTTATAAAGCAGCAAAAGAGAATTAAAATCAAGAATAAAATGAAAAAGTTGCTTTCATGATTGTTATTCTTATAAATATTCATTATTAGTAGCGTCATTTGTCTTGAGTCGATATTTAAAAACTACTATTAATAATATTTATATACAATGCACATTTATACGAATGTGAGCTTCTAATAACAGCTCGTTTTTTCAAAAATAAAAAAATCCCATTAATAATAAAATTATACCTTCGGGTAGTGTTGTGCTGGGAATGTCCCAGATGTGATTGGGACAATTGGGAACATAATGTGAGACAATCTTACAATGCTTGGGACATGGAAAATTGACAACTCTGCCTTCGGGCACGGTCTCTAAAAAAAATTTTTCTTTGGGATTTTTCAAAAAACGAAGAGACACATTTTAACAATAAATCAATTTAACTATACTTTGTTTTAATGTCGCTTATTTATACGAACTTTAGAATTTGAGTGTTGTTTATCAGGAAATGTTTCCTCCGATTACTATTCTAAATTCATAAATTAAATTATGTAGGTTTTACATATAGGCTTTTATAATTAGTTCAAATAATTAAATTTAAAATTCAATAATCAAATCATTTAAACTTTCAAAATTTAAATTAAGTTCATTAATTTTCGTAACCAATAAAATACTTTAAATGATTTTAAAGGATATAATTCATCCTTAAAGATTTTATCTTCGAATTAAATAGTTATTATATTATAAATATGATAATACTGTATAGACACCATCAATCTTATTAAATTAAATTACCACAAAAAGATAAAATTAAGCCCTGAATAATGCGATAATCCATCCACATAAACGAGGAAGGAAATATTGAAGTGAATAGATCAGAAACTATCTTATAGAGCCATTAGCAAATTACGACCTTATTCCAAATTAGGTTACTATAACAAAATATCCAACCAATGCATTATTATTTTTACTCGTTACTAGATATCTTTTAATTATTATGAGACAAAATAAAAACATGCTATTTTTAACGTACT